TTTACATGCAGAAAAGAATGCCAAATAAATGTAGAGCACTAATAAAATGTATAAATGAACATTGGTAATAGGGGTAGTTGATGAGTGGAACGGTCTGCCTAGTAGGGTGATCAAAGCTAAAACATTGGGTAGTTTCAAATTTAGGTTGGATAAATACATTAGTGAGAGGGGTTGGCTTTGAATCGGTCTTGCACACGAGTAAATAGGTTTATCAAAGCTTATTGCTTGGGTATAGCAGTTATGCTGTTAGTGGGTTAGATTTGTGAAGGACCAGCCTAGTTTGGGCCAACAGGCCTATTGCACTGTTCCTCCTTTCTTATGTTCTAAAAGCTATGGCTGGATAAATACGTACATGAGTGAGAGGGGTTGGATTTGAGTCGGACTTGCACCTGAGCTTATTGCTTGGGTAGCATTTGTTCTGTTAGTGGGTTGGATTTGTGAAGGACCTGCCTAGTATGGGCCAGCAGGGGTGTTGCAGTGTTCCTACTTTCTTAAGTTCTTATTTAACATCACACTTACCAGTAGGATGATTGAGGCTAGGACCTTGGGTAGCTTTAAGAAGAGATTGGACAAATATATGAGTGGGAGGAGCTGAGTTGGATTTATGTCACTGGGTACGGGAGTAAATTCTTGGGTAGCTTTGTGTAAAGGTCATTTTGATAAGGACCTGCCTTGTATGGGCCAGTAGACCTGCAATGTTCTTCCATTGTTATGTTCTTAGTGGGAAGGATTGTAAAGGACTTGCCTAGTATGGGCCAACAGGCCTATTGCAGTGTTCCTCCTTTCTTATTGGAGACTTGTTTGTGTGAGGGAGGGATGGCAAGTTTATTGTTGGAGAATATGACAGTAATATCAACTCTACAGCTTATTTATCTATCACAATTCAACTAATATGACATAATAAACAATATTAATAACATAGAAACATGGAATATACTCTAGAATGAATAAAATAAGTCATTATGTATGTCACGAGAGGTGCTGTGTTGTGTTGTTGTTGGGTATATAAGGGCCACTGAGAGTACCTGTCCCAGACGAACTACTATTTGTGAGTCAATCTACGATTAGCGAGCCCATGTTTATATGAAAATATCCCTATGATTTCCGAAATTTACGATTCTCGAGAACTACGATTATCAAGGGACCACTGTATCTCCAAGTTGTGTCATATGCCTTCTCAAGGTCAAAAAATATGGCAATAACCAAGTGGTTATTCGCAAAGGCATTACAAACATAGTAAGGGGTCTATGGTAGAATGGCCCTTATGAAAGCCATATTGACAAGTGAAGAGACTGTTGTGTGTCTCTAAATACCACATTAAACGTCTATTTACCAGATGTTCCATCACTTTGCAAACTGCACTGATAAGAGCGATGGGACGATAGTGGGAGGCTTCATGTCCCGTAGTACCCGGTTTGCGGAAAAGGAGAACAATGGCAGATTTCCACAGCTGTGGAAGAACTCCTTGTGACCAAATAAGATTGAAAAGGCGTAAGAGGACTGCAAGGGCTGACTGATGTAAATGTTGTAACATACGAATATGAATGTCATTGGGCCCAGCTGTCGATGATCGGCAAGCTAAGTGTGTTGCCTTCAGCTCCTGAAGTGTAAAAGGTACATTATACTGTTCTTCTCTGAAAGAAGAAAAGTCCAAGGGTGCTAACTCTCTGGCAGACTTTGAGGAAAGAAATGAGGGGCTGAGATGGAGCCCCAGAGAAATAAGGACCAGATGATTGCCAATTTCAATGGCAACATCTAGAGGGTTTGCTATATCAACACCGGCAACCTGCAGAACAGGAGCCGGGTCAGGGGGATATTTACCGCTCAGTTTCCGTACTTTTTTCCAGACTGCACTCATAAGAGGAAGCAGAGGTGATGGTGGAGACATAATCTCGCCAGCAAGTGCATTTAGCGTCATGGATGACACGGCGAGCGATCGCACACTTCTGCTTAAAATCAAGAAGTCTCTCAGTGGTTCTATTATACCAGTACCTGCCCCACGCAGTGCGTTTCAAACGTACTGCACGAGCACAAGCAGGAGACCACCAAGGCACACATTTCTGAGAATGCCTGCCCGAGGTTTGGGGTACAGAATGAGAAGCTGCGGATAAAACTGAGGACGAGAAGAGGTGTAAAAGCTCATCAATGAAGGACAAAGAAGGAACCTCACTAAAAACAGTTAGTTGTGAGTAAAGGTCCCAATTTGCCTGATCAAATTGCCAGCATGGGTTACGAAGAGTTGGTGAATATGAAGGGGAAGTAAGAATGATTGGAAAATGATTGCTGTCATGTAAATCCGGGAGAACAGACCAGGTGAAATCTAGTGCAGTGGAGGAAGAGCAGACTGAGAGATCGATGCAAGAGAGAGTATGAGTACGAGGATCAAAATGGGTGTGAGTACCTGTATTTAAAACATGGAGGGGGTGGGAAGCAAGAAAAGCCTCTAGCTGAATGCCACAGCGAGACCTTCCCCAGAGAAAATGATGGGCATTAAAATCGCCAAGTAACAGAAGGGGTGGGGGTAATGACGAAACAAGAAAGGCAATATCCGGAATAGATAATGCTCGAGAAGGAGAGAGATACAAAGAACAGAGTGTATACCACCTATACAGGTGGATACGGGCTGCTGTGTAATGCAGCAAAGTACAAACAAATATCTGATGGTACGGAATATCAGTGCGTAGAAGAAGGGGACTTTCATTAAAGGTCCCATCAGGAAAAGGATCCGAAGAATACAATAAATTATAGCTTGAGATGGGATAGATAACAGCAGAGTGTAATTTTGGTTCTTGTAAGCAAACACCAACAGGGGAAAATTGGGAGAGCAACGTCTGAAGCTCACCCCGATTACCCCTGAGGCCGCATATATTCCACTGTAAATAGGCCATGATTGGCAACGACAAAGATACTAGAAATCCGCAGGTAAGGGTACTTACGGACTAGAGGGGTTAGAAAAGTCCACATGCGGTGGCAGCGGAAAACGTTCAAGTAGCGAAGGAACAGTGCGCTGTGAAGGAAGGAGTTGCGCAGATGGTTTGGTCTCTGCAATATATTCAGAGATTGCTTCAAGTGTTTCAGAGTTCAGAGATGTCATATGGGAGACAATATTGGAGATGGAAGGAGGAGGAGTTTGAGTAAAGATCGGAACTGTAATGGACTGTACCAAGGTAGGGGATGGCGAAAGGGTGGAGGGAACTGGAGAAGTGTGGGAGGGTACAGAAGAGGCAGAAACCTGGGAGGTGGCAGAAGAGGAAGAAACTTGGGAGGAAGGCACAGTACGAGGAGGAGGATGAACCTCCACGCTTGTAACAGAGCCAGTGAAAGGGAAAGATCCAGGTACAGAGACCGGGAAGGTAAAGTGTGGAGGTGGATGAAGGAAAGGAGGGATTAAAGGAGATTTTTTGGACTTCTGAGAAGTAGAGGGACGATACCGGGGTTTGTGAGGGAGAACACGAAGTGAGAACAGACTGAGGTGTTGAAGTAGGGACGTCTGAGCCCAGGACAGCAAAAGAATTAAATACAGGAGTGACTATGGTACTGGCAACTGCAGAGGAGGCTGCAGAAGATGGGACCCCAGAAGTGGGGGGGACATTTTGAAACACAAGAATAAACACGGGGTAGTCTCCCTTGGAGGCTGAGATGAGAAACCGCCATAGCATAAGGGAGACCTTCTGCCTCTTTGAGGCAACAAATTTCCCGCTCATTCAAGTAGACCTGGCAACGGCGAGAGTACGAAGGGCGAGCCTCATGACAATTAAGGCAAGAGGGAGGTCAACTGCAAGACGTATTAGAATGGTCATCGGCACCACAGGCTGGGCATTCGGCTATAGATCTGCAATATTTTGCTGGGTGACCAAATCGCCAGCGATTTCTACACTGTTGCGGTGTAGGGATCACCTTTCGAACTTGTAACCGATGTCCTGCTACATAAACAGAGGATGGGAGTTCACGGCTGTCAAAAGTTAAATGAGCCACATTGTAAGGGTATCGTCTCCACCCGCGGGCAGGAAGAACATAAGTGTCTACCTTGAGAATTGGGAGATCTTGGAGTTACAGCTGTTCGAGAATGTCATTGCCACATGTCTGGAAAATCTGTTGGACTATGGTATGGGGCAGAATGACAGTACTTCTACAAGAACTGAGCGAATGATGTTTTTTGATAGTAATAGGAATAGTATCGATATGTGAAAGAAGAGAAAGATCATGAGCTTGGGTAGCATTCTGGACTGTGATGATGTGCGTACCACTCTTAAGAGCATGGAAGGAAATATCTCTACCAACATGGCATAGGAGCGCTTTGCCAATACGTACTATGGTCGGATAGATAGGCAGTAGAAGTTGGTCTTAAAGTAAAGAATTTAGTCCATTGTGTGCTCCAAAACTGAGTGTGGAGAGGGAGTGCATGACGTGTCCGTCTTTTCCGAGTAGAATGGGAAGGTTACGAAGTAACATCATCAGGAGATTGTCGCTGGCGTTTAGAAGTGGGACCAGAGTTGGTCTGACGTGGGACGGGCTGGCGATTCGAAAATTGCCGCACCGTAGCGGGAGAGGCCGGAAGCATAGTCAAAGGAGAGCGGAGGTCAGACAAATCGAAGGAGTCAGTCGAAACCCTGGCACCTGAAGCGGGTGACGAAACAGCACCAGCAAAAGGTACAAGGGCCTTAGGAGTGTCCGAAGAGTGGCCAAAAGACGAGGCAAGGTCAGAACGGGGTGCGGTAACAATAAGGGGCCCGGGGGTAGCAGGGTCATGGATTGGGGACTCCATGGTTAGGTTACTTCTTTCTTTTTGTTTTTAAGAAAAAAAAAAAGAAAAAATAAAAATAAAAAAAAAAGAATAAAAAAAAGGGGGGACCAGGGAGGGATAGTTCCTAGGAGGAATGAAAGGGCCAGAAGTGCCCTAGATTGCTTCAGATATAATGAGTCTTACTGTACCAACATTCATACAGTTGCTAATAAAATACACTACCACTGCACAGTACACAGATATATGTACACAAACATGTATTCAAAACATAACACAGAATACACAAATAGCAAGAAACAATTACATTAATGTACTGTAGGTGGAAGACAAGTTTTGAAGAATGTACATTAACACTAACAATCCTTTGCTGATATAAGCAGTGACACTTATTATTAAGCTACTAAAAACACTACTGCACTGTTCCATTCTTTAACCTCAATAGATTTTTGTAGTGGGAGAACCATCACATGACAAGTGAGAAAGAGTGCAATACAAGTTTCTGAGTGTCACCAGTAGGAGTACTCACAAAGTTTTAAGTTTTTTATGTTGCAGCATCAATATTTGTACAATCATGCTGCAGTAATAATAATGAAACTATACCACCTGTAAAAGTATTCTTTAAGTCAATGGCTAACTGTCCGTAAAAGGATAAAGCCTCAACTAAGACGAGGGATGATCACAGCATTAACCAGATCATGTGTTGTCCTAGACACCTGGACAGTCAACAAACAGCATAAAGTCAGTGATGTGTGGTGTCACAGAGTCAGTCCTATCGCCCTCCTCCACAATTCACTACCATACCCCCCATCCTCAAATTGCAAAAATCTCATCACCACCATCACACAAAACACTGTGGTAATTTTATTTATTATTAGTATTTTTTTTTATGAAAGCATCATATAAATTTATTACTGTCAGGTGTTGTATCCTACAGTTTTAGGTGGAAGAGACCTGTGGGTAGTAGAGGTTCCACTATATATACATACTAATATAAGTATACATGTATTGGATACACTTATATGTAGTATACACTAAGATGAAAAGAAATTACACTGTTCTGTAGATTTTATCCCATTATAATTGTTTTATCCAACTAAACTCATCCAATTTTAAGAGTTAATAAACAATGAAACATGTGTTAATCTATTTATGAACTTAAGAGCTACAATATTTGACTACATTCAATTGTTTGTTTGCAAAATCCAATATTCGTTCATAATACATGACCATATCACTTAATTACCATGAAGTATTTGGTAAACAAAGGATTTTCCAAGATATATGTTGTGAATTTTTTATGGCATTTCAAATGTGCACCAGCCATTCATCAAACTTATTTTGCCTTATTGAACACATTTAGTGAAAATTTAAATTAAGATTTTTTTGTTAATGACAGTTCTTAATCTTAACACATAGCATAAGTGTATACATGTTTATACATGCAATACTCACAAAAATAATAAAATATACAATAAATAAAGATTTTTCCCTTGTTCTCACACAAGCCTTTTGCATGCTTGGACACGCAACAGGCTTGTGTGAGCGCATTAGATAGGAGTGAGTGGAGGAGTGGGGTGTAAGCAAGGTAACACTTACAAAGAGATTCAAAGAAACTGGTTAGCCAGACTTGAGCCCTGGAGGTGAGAAGTCAGCATTCTGAAGGAGGAATGGGTGGGGATGCTGCATTTTGGAGGGGCATCTGAACTATGTCAGCACCCTTCTGGCAAAACAGTGATTGGCAGTTAAAGTGTTTTCTTCTTTGTTAGGTCACCCTACCTCAGTGGGAGATGGCCAGTGTTAAATATTGAAGACTTACTTTCAATTTAAAAAACTATTGTGGCCATTTATAACTTACAAAACATAACAATAAATATTTATTTGGCCTAAAGTACATGCTTATAAATATATACGTACACTAATATGTGCCAGAATATATTATAAAAAAATGTAAAAACTAATGGAACAAATTTTGTGACTATGCAATCTCTTAGTTAATATACTAGAATATATAATAAAACTTTGGTTGCCACTGACCCATAATATAAAAACCAAGGCACAGTGGAGGTAAAACTGACATCATCAAAGGGTTGACTACAATGAAGCAAATAAGGCTTTGATGATACAGATACATTAATACAAATATGACAGGATTTTGGTACAGACGCACAGTAGTGAAGGATGTCATAACTAAAAGTTTATGGACACAGCTAAGAACCAATAACAAGTGGAAGAAGTATTGCAAAAAATCTACATAGTACCAACAAACCTGGCCAACTACCTCTAATATGACTTGCTCTCTCTTTTGGAATTCTTTCTCAAGAGGTACATCTTATGCAGACTCTTCCCTAACATTTAAACTCCCTTAACCCTTAAGCACACAGATCATGAATTGGTGGTTTGCAGTTCAACCTGTAGATTATGCAAGTCAAACTTCCACTCTAACAGTTTTTTTTTTAAGATCTCAGTGTGCAGCAAGATCTCACATGTGGGTAGGTAAAATTTCAACCCAGTAGCTGCTGCTCTCTGGTGGCCAGATTATAAACTATTCCCTGCTAATGGTGATTTTGTCTCATATTTCCCAAGTCCACTGAATCGAGGATTTACCATATCAACAGTATTAAGACAGAAAGTACAAGGAAAAAAGTGGCAAAGACAAATAGGCAAAAAGGAAAAGAAAAATATAAAAAATTATAAAAAATATTAAGTGAAAGTATATAAAAAAGCAGCAGTTCCCAAGCTACTTTCATATCCCAGGTCTACTTTCATACCCCAGGGGTATGAAAGTAGACCTCCATGGGTGCACTAGGATATACTATAGGGAAGAATAAATAGGAAGCATGTCTGTCTCACACTCAGCAGATGGAGAATCAAGCCTCTACCAGGCTTGCACTGAATGACCCACATGGGTTTAGCACTTATGAATTGTTAAAATAAAATTTTTATGGGTGCACAAGAAAAATTCTGCAGTGGTGGAATTTATAATGCTTACACTCATTTGGGAATCATGATTCATGACTTCCATACACAAGTGCCTCAGATTCTAGTTGGCATGAGTGAAAATGTATGACTTTGTTTCTCCTTTTATTTTTACCATTTGATGTGTTATGAGAATACAAGGCAAACAAATCAATTTGGTGTTGAGCTAGATACTGTATTTCCAGTTTTATGTGCATGAGGGAGGCGGAAGTTAAGTTTGTTGGCTGTGTTCATAGCAAGAAGGTGTATGGTATTACTGGCTGCTGTCATGTATAGTGTAAAATGTACATTTGTTATCTTGTGTTTTTAGATGCATGTTAGAGGATCTGTCAGTTTTTTCTTTTTTACTGATTATAATGAAGCTAGAACAAAGAAACACATATCAGAAGTCTCCATATATGGATAAGCATACATAACAGATCTAGGAGTGAAACTGTCTTCAGTTGTTCCCGACTTTACTGACTTTTTGTGCCGAAATGCATTCATCCATCATACTGATAAGTGGCAACATATTAATATTATCATCACATATTGACATAATTCTTAATATTATTCTGTATTAGCATTCACATTCAAAAGATTTTATTACATTCAACACCAAGTGCTAAACCCACAAGGGTCATTAATGTAGCTGTAAATACATTTGTATAACAAAGGTAATGAATGTGAATCATGAGTCATGCTGCTGTAAACATAGTAAGTTTCATTAACAAAGGTGATCGGGAGTGTGTGGATTCAGTCATAATATGGCAGGGGGTACATAGCCTATAAAAAAAAAAATTGAGAGCCCCTGCTGTACAGAATATAGAAAAGCATCAAGCATCAGCAATAGAGCAGCTAATGAAAGAGCCACCAAGGAAGAAAGAATACTCTTGTCCCTTTCCCCATGGTAGTGTTTAACTCGTAAACGGTCCAAGCAGATCTACATTCACATGTGTAGTGCTACAAAAGTAGATCTAAGTTTTTTTTACATATTTTCAAATATAACAAAAAAAAAAGTAGATCAAAGTTTTTTTACACATTTTCAAATGTAGAAAAACAAAAAGAAGATCTACTTTTTTTACATACTACTTTCAAATGTTGAAAAAACGTATATATACGTTTGGACCGTTTACGGGTTAAAAGATAACTGTCACCATCAGATCTATTACACCGAAGAGTTTAATTACTTAAGTGATCAAAAAGAGGAGTGTTTTTCAGTACTTGTTTACAAAAGAAAGCATAGGGACTTAGTGGTAAGAAGAAATAAGTGCATACTTCATATAAGACCAATAGTTTCATACAGCAAAACCTTTTCAGTCTGACAATTCATGCCACGGAAACAAAATTTATAAAAATCACTGTTACATTAAAATCATCTAGGAGTATCTTAAAGAATAATGTCAACTTGTATCCATACTACGAATGTGAAAAATATTGAGCTCTGTAGTTACAAATAAGGCTGAAAATCATGAAAATTATCATCATAATTCAGCAAAAAGTATATATTTTCATGATTTCAATTACTGTGCACTATCATTATTTTAATTCAAAATACTTCCAAAAAGGTTTTACTATACTTTCTAACCTATTTTGTGGTTAGAAACAGACTTCTAAAAAACCTGATAACCATTAGCAATTAACCTGCTTTTCCTTAGCTGATACCCAATTTTGATCCTGTCCTGTATTAATGTTCAAGCGATCATCTTAGCTGAAGCATCAGACCTCGCACCCGGTGTAGTGGGTCGTGAGGCTGTGAATGAGCTCATTGTCTCCATCTGAAATACAGGAATATAACATGGGTGATGATTGTTGCAATAATCAAACAATCACCAAGGAAATTCACATTCCCACTTTTGGGAAACAAAATTTAAGATTACCTTAAAGATCTATAAATCTGTACAGAATTTACTGACATGGTATGGCAAACAGTTGAACAGAGATTTTTACTGTAATTAAAACCTCAAATCATTATTGTGCAGACACTCCACCAATGTTAATAATGTACACACACATCTGAAGCAATCATAAACTAATGTGAAAACTTTAACAAAATTATCAAAAACACTTTATAATGCTTCACATTATTCCTTCAATTCAACAGATCCAATTTAATTGTGCGCAAACAAAATTATGGCTAAAAGTAAATTGTTCAATTTACATTACCAATATAACACACACTAAATGACCCTAGATTAGATATACACATTTTAATAGTTATTTTATTACAACTAATAACTAATACTGTAGTATGCTATAATAAAGCCAGCATCAAAGTATTCGGATGCAATTTTTACATGACTTATATTAAGGTGTTATGATGTTGCAATTTTACATGATACTTTAATGAAGGCATCAAAGTTACTGCAGATGTGTTTTAGTTTAAAGAGTTCATACTTGAACATCTGTTTTTTATAGCACATTCCACCAAGGCAGATGACCCAAAGAAACAAAAAAACATTCATCATCACTAATTCAAGTGACAAGGAATAGCAACATCCCATACTCATACTTCACAGTACATGCACTATACTTCCTGCCCTCAGAACAAGTTTCCCACTTTTATCAACATGTTTACATATGCCTGCTCAAACCCATACCACTTGAAACCTTCTTAACCCACTCCCTCTACTATTTCCTTTATCCATCCTGGATTTGTAAATCTCTCTTGGTCAGTCAATCCTGATCCATGTTTTCTAAATGACCAAACTAACTCAAAACCCCTCCTCTACCCTCCAAATTATACCGTTCATAGGTGGAGACAAGTGTCGCAAAGCTGATAAAATAAATAAATGTCTGTCACCACCTATACCTTGTGTAACCCCACACCATCTTCTAATTCTTAAGATCCCTATTCCCTGCATAATATTCACAACACAAAACTGATGTCAAGCATGGCACCTCCATTACCACCAATATTATTATTGTTATACATTCAGTGGGGAGCCCTAAACCCTTATGGGTTTAGAATTCTCCCCATGAATAAGCAATCTGTATTTCACTTCCCTGGGAAAGGAGAGCACAGGTCCATTTCCTTAGAGGGGTCTATCTCCTCCAGCCTCCTCCTCACTACAACATTTCAAGACCATGCTGAGTTCTTATAAAAACAAAGATACTACTATACTCTGGTATATTCTTATTTTTATCTCCACTGCCCAATATCTTTCTTTCCACAAGCCCTTCAACAATCCAACTATGTACCTTTTTGTCCTCATATATACATATCCCCTCATCTCCCATACACCCATCTTCCAACACATCCTCTCCCAAACACAAAAATATATTTGCTTCCTCAATCTTTCAGTGCCTGATCTTTTTTCTAACTCTAATCATCTTTTTTTTTTCCTACCACCACTTTCAGGTTCCTTCTTTTGCATATCCTCCCAAGCTCCTCCACCAAACTTTGCAACATCTGTTCAGGATCTCACAAAGCACTGTCATCAGCAAAGAGCAACCACCACTTTATATCAGTTTCATTATCATTAAAGACCACGGTCATTCCTATCACTCAAGCATTCATTTCTTTTGCAACCCCATCTCTAACTATATTAAACAATCACATATCCTGGTCTAAGAATTATTTTTGCTGGAAAATTGTCCCCCCTCACTCATACACAGCTAAACCTGAGCCTCACTACTCAAACTCTTTTACTGCTTCCAATAACCTACTACCTATTCAATATCCACATTGTTCCTATACCCCCACCTACTATACATGCCTTTTCCAAATTCAAAAATGTAACAAATAGCTTGTTATCTTTATCAGTTTTTTTTTTTAAATACATTGGCCATCTCCCACCAAGGTAGTGACCCCCTTCCCTCAAAAAAAAAAGAGGAAGCACAATCACTCAATTCCTGCTTTGCCAGAAGTGTGCTAACATCACAGTTCAGATGACTCTACAAACTGCAACATCACCCCTTCTTTCAAGTGCAAACACTGTACTTCCCACCAGCAGGACTTAAATTCAGCTAACCAATTTCCCCAAATCCCTTCATAAATGCTACCTTGTTCCCACTCCAACAGTGCATCAATTCTTAACTACCACTTGTCTCCACTACAATTTAATGTGCTCACAAAGACTGTTAAATGTTCAAGTCACTAGCACTCAAAACCTCCTTTACCCATTCTCTCCATCCTTTTCTAGGACAACCCCTACCACCCCAGTCTGTAACATTACTCCTTTTTTCTTCTATGGATAAAGTTCTGTCTCCACAGATGCCTCAATGCACAACTCACCTTTTTTTTTCCCTTGTCTATTCTAGGGTTCACCTCTTTTATAGACTCACTTGCTGAAATGCCCTTTCCCAAATATGACAATGTATTTACTTCCTCCATACTCCCTCCTTTCAATCTAATATCCAATCCTTCATTGTCTAGGATATTTTTTTTTTTTGTTACTTTTATCACACTTTTTTTTCTGTAAATCTTTAATATTTTTCTTTTACAAACCCTCCCAAATTCCTTCATTGCCCTTTGCAACTTCTCTTCACTTTCCCAAAAGTACCTTGGCTAAGTAATACCAATATGCCTTAAAGCAAATACCTGGCCCATTCTTCCCTTATCTTCGCTCCCAGTTTTTGTATTTCCTGTAACTTAAGATTCTAATAATACAATACATTTTACCCCATACGAAGTATGACATGGAAAAAATGTATATTTATTTTCCAAAACTACTATTATTATTAATTATTACAGTATTATTATTTTTAGTATTATTATTATTATTATTATTATTATTGTTTTTTCATAGGGAAAGTGCTAAACCCAGAGGGGTGATACAGCACTAAAAAAGTTATGACCATTTGGTAAGGAATTTATTTTATAAATTTCTGCTTCTAAACTTTATAGTCCATCTGTGTGGAAATGGTAGAACGTGCCCCTGGAGTCGTGGGGCGTGAACTGTAACCCATGGTGCTCATTGTGTCGATCTGTAAAAGGGTGCAGGAAATTAAGGAAGCACAAGAAACACAAACACCTGATAAAGTAGATTTATAAAGAGATACTGATTTTCTTAGCTTCAAACAAAATGTTTTAACATCTTTAAACAAAAATAAAATAAGATTAATATATACTTTTTGTGGCTTTTACACTTTTCAAAACAAGGACAATTAAAAAACTATTTTGTTATTAAGAATAAGACATCAAAAGGATTATGGTAATTTATTTATATAGTGAAGTTCACACATCTCAGTGAGGAAATAAATAAGATAGCGTGTATTTAAGAACTTAAGAAACTGCAACTTAAGGCAGTGCTATAATCACAATCTTTTAGTAAATACTTAAATCTCATTCCTTGGAAAAAAAAAAACTTAAGAACTGCATGCCATTTATCTTAAATATTGTAAAATAATTACAAAAATTTCAGCAGGTTCAACAGTAAATTAAAAGTAGACACATGCAAACATCTGAAAGCCCCAGTTTTAGAAAATTGGTAGAAGATAGTGACACTGATTTCCCGATGACCTTTATATCTAATCTATATTAAAGTTTCTTACAGACAGAATTTCATGCAGCATGCAAACAAGCTTCCCTAGAAATATCTCATACTGTATTAAAGGATATCCTATTAAAAATCTCTGTAAATCAAGATGATCCATCCTTCTAGACAGTCACTGTTAAACTGCAAAAGTTAGCATTACTCACAGAATGAAATGTCAACAATAAACTGCTTGCTATATAATAAATAACAACAAGACAATACAGTAGGGCCCCACTTATACGGCAGGTTAGGTTCCAGACTACCGCCGTAAAGCGAAAATCGCCGTAAAGTGGAACACCTTTTTTTCCACTTATAATAGGTAGTAGGTTGGTAGACAGCAACCACCCAGGGAAGTACTACCGTCCTGCCAGATGACTGTGAAACAAAAACCTGTAACTGTTTTGCATGATGGTAGGATTGCTGGTTTCTTTTTCTGTCTCATAAACACGCTAAGATAACAGGGATATCTTGCTACTCCTACTTACACTTTGGTCACACTTCACAGACACGCACATGCATATATATATATACATACATCTAGGTTTTTCTCCTTTTTCTAAATAGCTCTTGTTCTTTTTTATTTCTTCTATTGTCCATGGGGAAGTGGAAAAGAATCTTTCCTCCGTAAGCCATGCGTGTCGTATGAGGCGACTAAAATGCCGGGAGCAATGGGCTAGTAACCCCTTCTCCTGTATACAATTACTAAAAAAGAGAAGAAGAAAAACTTTATAAAACTGGTTGCTTAAATGTGCGTGGATGTAGTGCGGATGACAAGAAACAGATGATTGCTGATGTTATGAATGAAAAGAAGTTGGATGTCCTGGCCCTAAGCGAAACAAAGCTGAAGGGGGTAGGAGAGTTTCAGTGGGGGGAAATAAATGGGATTAAATCTGGAGTATCTGAGAGAGTTAGAGCAAAGGAAGGGGTAGCAGTAATGTTAAATGATCAGTTATGGAAGGAGAAAAGAGAATATGAATGTGTAAATTCAAGAATTATGTGGATTAAAGTAAAGGTTGGATGCGAGAAGTGGGTCATAATAAGCGTGTATGCACCTGGAGAAGAGAGGAATGCAGAGGAGAGAGAGAGATTTTGGGAGATGTTAAGTGAATGTATAGGAGCCTTTGAACCAAGTGAGAGAGTAATTGTGGTAGGGGACTTGAATGCTAAAGTAGGGAAAACTTTTAGAGAGGGTGTGGTAGGTAAGTTTGGGGTGCCAGGTGTAAATGATAATGGGAGCCCTTTGATTGAACTTTGTATAGAAAGGGGTTTAGTTATAGGTAATACATATTTTAAGAAAAAGAGGATAAATAAGTATACACGATATGATGTAGGGCGAAATGACAGTAGTTTGTTGGATTATGTATTGGTAGATAAAAGACTGTTGAGTAGACTTCAGGATGTACATGTTTATAGAGGGGCCACAGATATATCAGATCACTTTCTAGTTGTAGCTACACTGAGAGTAAAAGGTAGATGGGATACAAGGAGAATAGAAGCATCAGGGAAGAGAGAGGTGAAGGTTTATAAACTAAAAGAGGAGGCAGTTAGGGTAAGATATAAACAGCTTTTGGAGGATAGATGGGCTAATGAGAGCATAGGCAATGGGTCGAAGAGGTATGGGGTAGGTTTAAAAATGTAGTGTTAGAGTGTTCAGCAGAAGTTTGTGGTTACAGGAAAGTGGGTGCAGGAGGGAAGAGGAGCGATTGGTGGAATGATGATGTAAAAAGAGTAGTAAGGGAGAAAAAGTTAGCATATGAGAAGTTTTTACAAAGTAGAAGTGATGCAAGGAGGGAAGAGTATATGGAGAAAAAGAGAGAAGTTAAGAGAGTGGTGAAGCAATGTAAAAAGAGAGCAAATGAGAGAGTGGGTGAGATGTTATCAACAAATTTTGTTGAAAATAAGAAAAAGTTTTGGAGTGAGATTAACAAGTTAAGAAAGCCTAGAGAACAAATGGATTTGTCAGTTAAAAATAGGAGAGGAGAGTTATTAAATGGAGAGTTAGACGTATTGGGAAGATGGAGGGAATATTTTGAGGAATTGTTAAATGTTGATGAAGATAGGGAAGCTGTGATTTCGTGTATAGGGCAAGGAGGAATAACATCTTGTAGGAGTGAGGAAGAGCCAGTTGTGAGTGTGGGGGAAGTTCGTGAGGCAGTAGGTAAAATGAAAGGGGGTAAGGCAGCCGGGATTGATGGGATAAAGATAGAAATGTTAAAAGCAGGTGGGGATATAGTTTTGGAGTGGTTGGTGCAATTATTTAATAAATGTATGGAAGAGGGTAAGGTACCTAGGGATTGGCAGAGAGCATGCATAGTTCCTTTGTATAAAGGCAAAGGGGATAAAAGAGAGTGCAAAAATTATAGGGGGATAAGTCTGTTGAGTGTACCTGGTAAAGTGTATGGTAGAGTTATAATTGAAAGAATTAAGAGTAAGACGGAGAATAGGATAGCAGATGAACAAGGAGGCTTTAGGAAAGGTAGGGGTGTGTGGACCAGGTGTTTACAGTGAAAACTATAAGTGAACAGTATTTAGATAAGGCTAAAGAGGTCTTTGTGGCATTTATGGATTTGGAAAAGGCGTATGACAGGGTGGATAGGGGGGCAATGTGGCAGATGTTGCAAGTGTATGGTGTAGGAGGTAGGTTACTGAAGCAGTGAAGAGTTTTTACGAGGATAGTGAGGCTCAAGTTAGAGTATGTAGGAAAGAGGGAAATTTTTTCCCAGTAAAAGTAGGCCTTAGACAAGGATGTGTGATGTCACCCGTGGTTGTTTAATATATTTATAGATGGGGTTGTAAAGAAGTAAATGCGAGGGTCTTGGCAAGAGGCGTGGAGTTAAAAGATAAAGAATCACACACAAAGTGGGAGTTGTCACAGCTGCTCTTTGCTGATGACACTGTGCTCTTGGGAGATTCTGAAGAGAAGTTGCAGAGATTGGTGGATGAATTTGGTAGGGTGTGCAAAAGAAGAAAATAAAGGTGAATACAGGAAAGAGTAAGGTTATGAGGATAACAAAAAGATTAGGTGATGAAAGATTGAATATCAGATTGGAGGGAGAGAGTATGGAGGAGGTAACGTATTCAGATATTTGGGAGTGGACGTGTCAGCGGATGGGTCTATGAAAGATGAGGTGAATCATAGAATTGATGAGGGAAAAAGAGTGATGGTGCACTTAGGAGTCTGTGGAGACAAAGAACTTTGTCCTTGGAGGCAAAGAGGGAATGTATGAGAGTAATAGTTTTTACCAACGCTCTTATATGGGTGTGAAGCGTGGGTGATGAATGTTGCAGCGAGGAGAAGGCTGGAGGCAGTGGAGATGTCATGTCTGAGGGCAATGTGTGGTGTGAAATAATGCAGAGAATTCGTAGTTTGGAAGTTAGGAGGAGGTGCGGGATTACCAAAACTGTTGTCCAGAGGGCTGAGGAAGGGTTGTTGAGGTGGTTCGGACATGTAGAGAGAATGGAGCGAAACAGAATGACTTCAAGAGTGTATCAGTCTGTAGTGGAAGGAAGGCGGGGTAGGGTCGGCCTAGAAGGGTTGGAGGGAGGGGTAAAGGAGTTTTGTGTGCGAGGGGCTTGGACTTCCAGCAGGCATGCGTGAGCTGTTTTGATAGGAGTGAATGGAGACAAATGGTTTTTAATACTTGACGTGCTGTTGGAGTGTGACAAAGTAACATTTATGAAGGGATTCAGGGAAACCGGCAGGCCGGACTTGAGTCCTGGAGATGGGAAGTACAGTGCCTGCACTCTGAAGGAGGGGTGTTAATGTTGCAGTTTAAAAACTGTAGTGTAAAGCACCCTTCTGGCAAGACAGTGATGGAGTGAATGATGGTGAAAGTTTTTCTTTTTCGGGCCACCCTGCCTTGGTGGGAATCGGCCAGTGTGATAATAAAAATAATAAATAAATACATACAAATACTAGATAACAAGTTTACACTAACATATATTAAGTTAGCAATAGAACTAGGCATTAAAAACAATAAAAAAGTAAAGTACACATATAGTACACTCATTACTTACCTTAAAATATTTGTAGTCTTAATCTAGGGTGAGATGAGTAGTATTTATTGTAAGAAATCAAGTGTGGTATGTATGGTAGCCAGCCAGGCTACCATACCAGGCCAACCCACCCACACATAATATTCTATGATATTTAAGCATCCCAGAGCAATGAAATGCATGTACAGGTCACTCATTACTTATCCTAAAATATTTTTAGTCTTAATGTATGGTCAGAGGTGAGTAAATGAGATAAAACAAATAAATGAGAGAGAGAGAGAGAGAGAGAATGAGTACATGAGAGAGGACACTCGCAGAGCTATGTAAACAAACCGGGCGAATGCCAGTTTTGTAAACAAACCAGGTGGACATGTCTGGTTTGTGTACAAGTTACATTGTGTACAAGTTGTCTCTACGTTGATATGGTAGAATAAATAAAGAGGAACACTCCCA